ATGCTGGGGACTGGGGATGGCAATGACTCCCTCAAGCGTATTCTGAGGAAGGAGCAGGGTGCCTTCGATGACGATGGCGTTCCAAAGCGAGGAGGGACAGAGCGACCCGACCACGAACCGCCGACGCTGGAGGGGACTATTACCTGTCCCGGGAGAAGGTTGATAGGTGGTCGAAGGAAGTGCTAGCCCAGCAGGTCCAGATTCCGGTGTGTTGAGCTTTCATGGTTCCAGATCTGGTCTGACATATAGTTCAGAGAAGCGACGACCCAGAGGAGGATAACCTCTGCCAAGAGAGGTGGAAGAACATGTCAGAGGAAATCACGGAGCGAATGTGGGGCATCTTTGACGAGACGGGGATTTCCTCGCTCTGTGCCGCCATGGCTTCGTCCTCCTCATTGCTGACATGGTCAAGAGTGGAGAATTGTGAGTGGTGGAATTGGTGTAAGCCGTGGAAGTTGTGGACTGACTACACTTCTCAGGGAAAATACGGCCTTGCAATTGCCGACTCCCTCCTGGACGCCTTCGGCCCAGACTTCGGTTTTGGCTACGACATCGGCTGCGGGTTCGAGGAAACCATCAAGAACTCCCCGCTTGGACCGAAGGCCAAACGGCTGAACTTCAAGATGCTGGTCGGCTCCTTCCACGGCCATGCCCACAACCGGATGTGCCAACTCCGGTACCTTGCCACCTATGTCCTTGGTCTGGGGCTCGAGGACCTCGAGGGCTGCGAGCGGTACTTCTCCAGGTCCAATGCCTTGGCCCGGACCGTTCAATATGCCAGCGTCTTTCATCGTAAGCAGTCGATCACAACCTACCTAACTCATGTGGACAGCTTCGAGACGTACCCCAACTTGAGTAAGCTCTACAGCTGTCTTTACTTCCCCTCTTCTGATCCAGAATTCATAGGCAAGTTCCTGGTCGACAATTATAAGCAGGCACTCGACATCCTGGACACGGAGGAGGCGCTCACATTTGCCATGGATCAGGCAGGAATCAGTGGGGGGGATGAGTTTCGGAGGCGTCTGGAGGAGGAGAAGGCATATCTTCGGAGCTTGTCTAAGGAGCCGGAGGAGGAGACACAGCAGATGGAGTATTATCAGAGTCTCATGAATCTCCAGGCCCGCAAGTGAGTGGTTCCAGGTCCTTTTGCTCAGACTGCTGATTGATTTCCACCACTTCCACCTCGCTTCCTTTGACCCCGACCGCCACTGCAATTCCACCACTTCCACCGTATTTCCACCGCCACAATCCACCATTCCACCATTCCCATTGGATATTTCCCAGTCAGAAAGATATTCAACGATGTCTTTGCGGAGGGATCCACTGCAAACGGGACAGCAAAGAGGCATGCACGGGATAACTACGACAAGGCCCACGCCGCTGTCCAAGGGATGGAGCAGGTCCTGGAGATCGCCGTCCAGTGGACCCCAGAGACAGAGGCTTGGAAAACCGCGGCCTTGCTGGTTTCCACCAGGTGCTACCGGCTTTGTGTCAACAAGCTGGAGGAGCTGGTGCTCAAGCGGCTCTTTGAGCTCACCAAGATGAACATGTCCCAGACTGGTGCGTCTCACTTGATTATGTATTGTTCAATGACTGGCCTGAGAATGTTAAGGCTACACGCTTCGGAAGCACATTGCCAAGGCATTGCAAGTGCGGTCCAAGACCATTCGCGCAGCCCTGGGCCAATATAACGCAGCTGCCGCTGCCCTCACGCCCAAGCGCCGTTCACTGACATGGCCCGAGGTCATTGAATATGCGTTCCTATCGGATTTCGATATCCTCCGTGACCCCACCGGCAACGCAGACTTGCGGGAATGGGCGACTCCCGCTGCGAGGCAGCTGATGGATTCTTTCTTCAGGCTGGAGCGTGCAAAGGAGGAGATCCCACGCTCAACATTGAGATCAGACGCCTGGTCACCTACATCTGTGATGAGAAGGCCCTCCTTCTCCGGAAGGAGGCAGAGGTCAGGGAAACCGACCCCAACCTTGCCTACTTCATCGGGAAGTACCGCAATTGCCAGGGCCGCTCCGACGACAACCACATGGTCCGCCTCTGGGCAATGGCAAAGAAATTCGGCAGTCGGTTCACTGGAACACTCACCCCAGGCGTCAGACGGACGGAGGTCACGGAGCCAGTGGCAGAGGAGATGGACGTGGATTCGGCTGCGGAGGAAGCAGAGGACATTGCTGTTGCCATAGAGATTGCAAGGGGTCAGCAGTTGGAGAGGGAACCACCAGTTGAGGACGAGTGAGAGGACGCCGAGACGGACGATGATGATGAAGGTGAGGAGGCAGAGAGGGAGACCCTGGCGGAGATGACGGAGAGGGTTCTCACCATTGCCACGGACAAGGAGTAGATGCCCCAGAGCCTCACCTCCCTTTCCTTCCTGATCCTCGCTCCGCTGTCCCCTCTGCCCTAACACTTGTCATACACATTGTCCATGCATTGTATTCTGTTTCCCATGCTCCGCTTGGCGTTCCAAGCCCAATCTAGTTGTTTTGACTGCGAAAGTGTGGGTGGAAATGATGGAAGGGTTGCCAAGGTCAAGAAGAAAGTGAGACTTCTGCGGTAGTGCATGTGGAAACGGTGGAAATGGAGGCAATTCCATAAGTCCCACTGACTCTTGAAACGGGACCTGTGGAAATGGTGGAATTTTAAAGGATCACAAAGGTTTACTGACTCGCTAAACGGAGGACGTGGAAATGGTGGAATTTTAAGAGGGTCACAAAACTACTCTGACTCGCAAAACAGAATGGGTGGAAGCGGTGGAAATTTAAGAGAGTCACAAAACTGCTCTGACTCGCAAAGCCCGGGGGGTGGAAATGGTGGGAGTTAAGAGGGTCACAAACCAATACTGACTCTCCCAAAAACATCAGATGGAAACGGTGGAAGTAGGGAGAGTCACAAAATTACTGACTACTTTAACAAATCTGACTACTCCTTAAAAAGGCTTCAAAACCCTGTGGAAACAGTGTAAAAGGGCAAAATTTCCGCTGCTACGCGGAGGCACCTCTAAAACAGGTGGGAATGCTGGAAAAAGGGGTGGAATATGTGTAACTGTGGAAGGAGCGATCGCCACAAACTTGTGAGACTAGCATGTAAGTCTAGTCCCACAACTTTGTGGTGATCCGAGGCCTTTTCAGGTGGTTGGATGGAGGAAAATTGGAAAGCAGCCGTTTCCACGCACATAGAGGACTTCTCTGGTTTCCCAAACTGCTTAGGGACTGGTGATGGATCCCTGATACGCTTTGCGGACGAACCAGAGGAGGAAGGGCATCTCTACATGTCAAGAAAGAAATTCTTCGCTGTGGGGAAATATGTTCTTTTCTTCAGATATATCCTGATCTTTTGCAGACGAACATTCAGGCAATATGCGACCATGAGTGCCGTTTCACTTCCTGCGAACTAGGATGGGCAGGCGCTGTCACTGATGTCAAAAGTTCGGATCTCTGGCAGCGGCGCCATATGTACTTCCAAGGAGAAGAATAAATATTTGTGGATAAAGGTTCGTTACCTTCTTTGGATGGAACAAGATTTTCAACGGCATGTCTAGGATATCCGTCTACACCATGGACTGTTCGTCCATTCGACGAAAAAGAAATCAGAGCTGCGAGTGCAGCTGACCAGTCTCGCATGCGTGAATTCAATCAACGGCTGTCATCGGTTCGGATTACTATCGAACACTAATTTGGATTGCTCAAAGGCCGATTCCCCTGCCTACGAACAATGGGTCCGCATAAATCGATGCAAGAATTGTACAGAGTCATCGAGGCTTTGATAATCCTTCATAATATGGCCATCCAGTTCAAGGACAAGCCGGATGTCCTTTGGCAGCTCAGCGAAGACCCAAGTGATGGAGAAGATGAAATGGACGGCAATGTAGAACCGCTCGTCTAACAGGTTGTTGGTGATGCGCAGGTACCCGCTCGCGAGACGGATGATTGGTTGAAAGAACAGGGTCGCAAGAAGCGCCTCGAACTACTGGATGAATTGTTTTAAGCAATGGAATGTACAGTAGAATTATGTCGAAAGTATCTGTATATATGAACGAAATAGTGTAGAGTGTAGAGCATCAAGTAGCGAAGTACTAGGAAAATTAGGACTTGAGGAGAGCGAGTAGAATAGAATTAGCCGCATCTTTGACCTCAGAACTCACGCCGTCCATTGCGAAAACTGTTTTCGCCATATCTACCTTGGCCTTCTGCCGATCCAACTCGAATCGTCGTTCGTCAAGCTCTAGCTTCGCTTCGAAAGCTTTAGCCTTCTTCTCGTCTGTCACCATTTTGACCTTTAGATATTCTCCAATGTTACCGAAAGATTGTGTTGCCTGGGCACGGAACTTCGAAGCCGGCGTGTGCTTCGGCTCAGACACAACAGCGGCAGGGTCTTTGTCAGTGACCGGTTTGCTCTCGGCCTTCAGTGCGGGGTCCAGATTGTTGTCCGAGTCGTGGCCGAAGTCTTCAGCGTCGGACAAAGCTGCCGCAGAATTGCGGACGCAGACCAGAGTTGTAAGTGCTCGAAATGAACTCAAATAAACCCGGTACGATAAAACGTATGGGAATCCAAGAGCGACGGGACGCAGAGCACAGTGAGAATCAGCGCGGAATCGGCGCCGAAAAAAATAATGCAAACCCATGCCCCGGGCCTGAGTCGAACGGGCTTCTTCTGCATTGGAATCTCCCACGTCTTGCACAGCTTGCGCAGACGCGGACGGTCCACCACCGGGGCTCCAAAGTGTTGGAATGAATGCGAATAAACCCTGCTCCAAGTCACTCACCTAAACCCGCCTCGATACATATGCAACAGTAGGAGCATAAAAAAATTTTGTTCGAACTGTGATGCCCGGGCCTGAATTGAACAAGCTTCCTCTGCGTACCTGTACAGAGTTCGGCAGAGGCGGTGTCCGCTACCGGCGCTGTAGCTCGTTGGAATGAACGCGAATAGACCCCCTCGATAGGCAGGAGCAGGAAGATAAAAAGGACTCGCCCGGAATAGGTAGTGCCCCGGGCCCGAGTCGAACGGGCATCTCCTGCATCAAAGCTTTGATTCAGGATATCTAGTTTACACAGACGCGCACCATGCGCCACCGGGGCTGTAATTCGTTCGAATGAACTCGAATACAACTGACTCGATAAGCAAGGGTCCGTAGATAAAACATCCTTGGCGGAGCACCACGCATGACGCCGATTCAGATATGCACGTTGACCGCGACAAACGCGACGCACTCCTCCGCGCACATCGATCGCGATTCCCAAGCACCCACACACGAGTCGCCCGCAACCGAACGAGAACGAGGTAAGCAGGGTGTCCACAACGGGTGATTATAATTATAAATTCGATGCAATGCTTTTCTCCTTCCTCGGTCTCCTTCCTTCCTCGCTCCTCCCTTCCCCGTCGTTCCCGCCTCCCTCGTGCTCGCCCCCCATACTCCCTCCCGTGCTCGTTCGCGGGCGCGCTGCCGCGCTCGAATCCCTTTTGCGGGAGCGCGTCTACGCCGCCGCGGGAGCCGCAGCGGGAGCGGCGGCCGATTTGGTGGGGCAGTCGCGCAAGATGTGGCCCTGCGGGGGAGAGGCGTTAGGTTTGTGGGAGGGGAGGGGCAACGAAATGACGGGGATGTGCGGGAACGAGGGACGCGAGGGGAGACGTCGTTGCGGGGAAGGAGGACAGGGGAGCAGCACGCATGGCAAGGCGCGGAGCCGTGGAAGTGAGGGTGGAAGAAAGCGCGCACGGAGCGCAGATGGGGAAAAAAGGCAGAGGAGACTCGGAGCGCGGGGAAGAACGAAAAGGAAACGAAAAGAAGGGGAGGGAGGACATGGAGCGCAGCGAGGGGGAGACGCCGCGACGGGGGACGAAGGGAAGGGAGGGTAGGATTGGACGTGGGGATCAGAGCGCGGGACACAAACGAAAGACAGGAAAGGGGACAAAGAAGAGAGACGCACGGGCTGTCCACACGCGAAGCACTTGGGCGGCTGCGGGCACGCCGAGAGCCCGTGGCCCTCCTCGCCGCAGCGGAAGCTGCATTACAATTAATATTCCAGCGTCAGCGCCGGCCTAGCTCGAGAGCAGACAACGCACCACTTGATCGGCGCGGTCTTGAGCGCCTCGATGCGCGCGGGGTCGGGGTTGGGGCAGTGCTTGCGCTCGTGCCCCTCGACACCGCACGCGACGCAGATCGTCGGCTGCGTGCAGTCCTTCTTCTCGTGCCCCTCGCGGCGGCCTGCGCGTACGCGTGGTCAGTAGCGCGCTGTCATCTCATGCGACGGGGGGCAACGCACAGTTCAGGCTGTTGCCGTCAGCATTCGTGTAGAATCCGAGGCGAAGGGACACACCAAATACGGTACCGCGGGCCGCCGCCGCGGGTCGTGGGCGCCGCCGTGGAGAGGGCGCGCAACGAGAGCGAGAGCGACGGCGCGGCGCGGAAGGCGAGGCGCGGGGCGCGCAGGCGGAGGAGGGCGAGCATCGACGACATGGGGGAGTGAAAAAAACCGGTAACGGTAACGCGGGACTGTCACGCTGATGGGTGATGGCTATGTTCATGAGGATGCCGGTGGTGATCCGGCGCACGGACCCAGATGCGTCTCAACTTTCCGTTGCGGTTCTCGGCGCGGCATTGAGAGGTGATGAGCTGGGAGGGTATTTGAAGCTCCGACGCGAGGTGGCTCGCACCTGCATCCCGTGTGTGGCGTCGAATTGCGGCAGGCCGTCTGTTCGACTCAGACTCGGGGCATGCCAAATCCGACGTAACCAGGTTTTTTCCGCCGGGCGCTGTTTGTTATAGCACTCGCACGCGACGAAAGCTTGCTTGCCGCCCGCCACAAGCTTGGATGGATTTGTAATTTCCTGCTTTCGCATCCTCTCTCTGGAATATCAATTACAGCCCCGCACCAATTCTAACTCATCTCGCCCAGTTCAGCTCAGAGGACTTATCAACTCGATGGTGAACGCATCACATCCGCCGCCATTACATGCTATTTTGTGCGGATGGCGCCCGTTTGACCCGGGCCCGGGTTATTCTTTACTGGACGCTGATTATTCTTATTCTCTACGGATATCTCGTGCGCGACTGTGGATAGTGCTAAACCTATTTCGCTGGAGTCCCTAAAGCTTGCCCCACATCAACATGGACGAGGACGACATGATTTCCTGCTTCGATCTTCTCCCCATAATCTCTCTCTGAAATATCCATTCTACTCTTGTTCCTATTCCACTCCCACCGCTCCGGGTCTGATGTATACCCTCGAGCTTGTTGCAAGGGAATCAACAACTCGGTGGTGAAAGCATCACATCCGCCGCAATTAGCCCTGTGTCCCTCGCTATTATGCGGAAGTTGCCCGCTCGACCCGGGCCCGAGTTATTCTTCGGCTGTCCACAGCTTTTTCTGTCATGCTGTCCTAATATCTCGCGCGCGGCTTTGAAATTGAAATGAGCACGGCGAGCGCAAACTGATTTCTGTGGAATTAGTTTACGCCTGCGGCGATCGGGATATCTCGGACCCTTCAAACCACGCGGAAGCGCAAGGGACCTCACATAAGTCAAACACTCTGCCCAACGCCCCGACGCGCATCGGATCGCACTCGCACACCGTACGTCGACGACCTCCAGTCACCGTGGATGGATTGTCTGTTCGACTAAGACTCGGGTATAAATTCGACCGACGTACCCAGCGCTTTTCGTGGGCGACTAAAGCTTGCGCGCATCGAGGACTTAACGAGGACGATCTAGTAATTCCCTACTTTGATGTTCTCCGCATCCGCTCTCCCTGTAACATCAATTCATCCCTGACTCCCCAATTCCAGCTCGGCTCACACAGTTCAGCTCGAGCACTCAACAATTCGGTGCTGAAAGTACCACATCCGCCGCAATTGAGATGGTTAGCACCGATGTTGTGCGGAAGGCGCCCGTTCGATCCGGGCCCCCGAGTTATGTGTCCCTTACTTCTTTTGATTTGTCTTGCCGCACATCAAGAACCTGGACGAGTACGAGTTCATGATTTCCTCCTTTGAATTTGGATCTTCTCCCCATCATCTCTCGCTGTAAGATCAATTCCGTTCCCGCCTCACCAGTTCCACCTCATCTCATCCAGTCCATTCCGGGACAGTCAGCAACTCGGTGGTGAAAGCATCCCATCCGCTGCAACTTAAAGTTGTCCTTGACATAATGCGGAAGGCACCTGGGCCCGAGTTATGTAGTGTTGGATGTAATCTTCTTTTGGTTTGATATCCCGCGCGCGGCTGTGAATTGAGCACGGCGGGCTCTATTTCTCTGCTCGAAGTGCAGTGACGATGGGATCTGGTACAGTGCCGCATTGATCGCCTTGAATCACTTAACCCACTCGTAATCGCACGGCACTTGCACACCTGCAATACTACGACCAACCCCCCGGACGCGAATCGGCTCGCACCCGCACACCGTATCCACGGGCTCCAGTCAGCGGCGATTGTCTGTTCGACTCAGACTCGGGGCATACCATGGGCGGTCGTCAGTTCTTTTCTCGCACGGCGCGGGATTTTGTACAGCAGTGGGCTGCAGCGAGGCGAATTCCCGGCACGCTGCATCTGACGTGCTTTCAACTTGCGGCATTATTCGGCGGATGAAGTGTTCTCCGAATCATCTATCTTCGCAACGCCAGCCCCGTCTCCCCAATTCGGGCTGATCTCACGCAGTTTATATAAAAGCATTTTTCACAGAAAATTATGTACACCCTTGACTGAGGCTCGTTCTATGTGGTGCTGAACTCTGTGGTTGTGTTTCGTGCATGGATTCGTGCTTCGTAAATTCAGGTCCTGCTCATTTTCGTAAATCACATTTTCGTACATTGTACATTGTACAACCTGCTTTTACCCAGAACAAATTCCCGGCGGATCCTTCCGAGCCATCAACCACATCCCAAGTGATGGCCCATCATACCACACGGAAAACCATTAATCAAAACACTGGTATATCTCGGTTATATCCCAGGACTCCACCCTGGCCACTGTACCATTCCGACCGCAAAATTAGTCTCGCAGTGTAATAATTGAATAGAATGAATTAAAATATATCAGGACAAAGGATGCTTACATAAGAAAGAGCCGATGTCTGGTTGGTATGTGTCTTGGTATCGGCAGTGAATGCCTGGAGATTCTTCATGAGTGTGGGATTACTTAGAGGTTGGCTTGACCGGTCCGTTCCGTCACCTCTCGGGGATATCCCTGCTTTGGGAAAACCAGCACGACCTCGGTACTCGGCTAAAGTAAGCACGGGGAGCCACATTGGGATTAGGATGGTACGTATTGTGGAGCATGAACCAGAACAAGTACAGAGAGCAGGATCGGAGAGTACGAAGCATCAAGTACGATTTGATGCACGTGCATGGTTCACGCCGTACGAATTGTGGTGCTTGCAAGGTTCATGTTGTACACTTTAGCTCTGATTGAACGTCTAAGATTTGCGGTATAGCATGCACTGGCATGCACGTAATATTCAGTGATAAATACTGTCATAAGTTTAGCTTAGAGCATTCATCAACTCGATGGTGAATGCATCACATCCGCCGCAATTATTGTTTTCAGGGAACTCTGTTGTGCGGAAGTTGCCCGTTCGATCCGGGCCCGAGCTATACGTTCGATGTGTACACTTCTTTTGCTTTGATAGCCCGTGCACGACTGTGAATGGAGCACGGTGAGTGCTAACCCTGGTTCTGCTGAATTTAGTTGACGCCCGCGGCGATCGGGATATCTCGGACCTTTAAACCACGGTACTTGCACGGCTCAAGCACTCCGACTAGCGCCCAGACGCGAATTGGCTCGCGCCCGCACACCGCAGTCGAAATCGGCAAGTGCAGTCGGCGGGCCCGGGGGTCGTCTGTTCGACTCAGACTCGGGGCATTTCGCCGGCATTTCGACCCAACCTTTTTCCTGCGGTGTGCTCAATCAGAGCCCTCACTGCGCGCAAATCCAGCACTTGAAGCAGGACGATTTCGTAATTTCCTGCTTCAAATTTGGATCTTCTCTCTGGAATAGCAATTCAGCCCCCTCTCACCAATTCTCACGCATCTCACAGATCAGCTCAGAGCACTCAGCTCGGATGAAAATATCACATCCGCCGCATATTT